GCAACTGGAGGTATGCATGATACTGAGGTATTATTCTTAGATAAAACATTTCTTGTTTCATTACAAACATATTTGTTCAACTAGGAATTTTCTGAGGATGAGAGGGCATGAAGACACCATGGAGTGGCAGTTACAGATTATGCAACACAACAAGCAACAGGATTCCAGCAGTTGCGGAGTTTTGCTGTTAAAGGTAACCCTTATTCAAATGATTCCATTTATTGTTAGCTACAATTAGGACTTTACATTATAATAATGAGAAATCTCACAGTTTGCAGAACACTACCTTGCTTTTGGAGAGGTCAGTGAAGTATTAACCACTACAGAAGCAGTTGTACTGGAGCGAATGCAGATAGCTTGCACCCTACTTGAACATCGAGGTAAGTCCAGTAAAGTCCTTATCACGTTAGAGTGTGTACTTCCAATTTAAACAGTGCTTTTTAAACAGCACATTACAAACAGTGCTTTTCAAACACTTTCAGATAAGACCCTTCTTTGAGTCTAATTTAAAAAATTCAAGGGACTAATTTGCCATGAAGTATTTGTGGAAAAAATTTACTATTATTTTTTAATTAGTCAATAAATAATGTTTGATTAAAATCTAACCATGAATGTGTTTCAGGGAACGCTGAGGATTACTGCATTGTTTGCTCTATGTTAGATGCTGATGCTGACCGCAGCATGATTGAAATGGTAAAACAAAACAAAAGAAACACATAAGTCTTAGTATCATTACCTGCTAATCATGTTTCAAATGTTGACTAATAGTATTCACCAAACATAATATGAGCTATTTATTTTTTCCTTTCCAGGTGCAGTGTGAGTCTTGCCAAAGATGGGCACATTTTGCATGTGCAAAATATAAAGAAAGCAACCAAGAATGTAAATGCAAAAAATGTGAGGAAAACACATAACAACTTCTAATAAAAACAGCTGTCTTTCCCCCTCCATGTCTCTTTGCATTCTTTGTCAACATTAGATGATTGTGTGCAGGAAGCATGTTTTGATAGTGTGATTTGGCCATCTGAACATAAAACTATGCAGGAAGCATGTTTTGATAGTGTGATTTGGCCATCTGAACATGCTACCTAAATAAAACTACGCAGGAAGCATGTTTTGATAGTGTGATTTGGCCATCTGAACATCCTACCTATACGACGGAGCCATTAACTACGTAAGGTAGCATATTCTGATAAGGTAGCACGGATTGATAGACAAGACCATAAATCTACGCTACGGTAGGACGTTTTGTCAGAACACCGGCTCAGGTTCACTCTCTTTGTTTCTCAATAAAACAAAGCGACCCACAGACACGCGGGACTAACGGCACAGCCGGTGTTAGAAACGGGGACTCACCGGCGCTCTCCGTTAGTCCTGGAGCCCACAGCAGCAGAAAAGCCACGATGAACATTTTGAATCCCTTTAAAGCCTCAGCTCGCCGATCACACCGAGTTTATCCGAGTTCACGCTGCGTGTCCGACAGAGATGCTCTGAATGAGGCGGCGCTCAGAGTCACAGCCCACGGGGGAAAGTACCCTCTACACCACGTGTATATAACTGAAAGATGAGTTATGTGTGAAGTTGCTGAGTAAAATTAACCTTTGATGTGAAACCCTGTGTATTTATAGCACATTTAAAACAACAGAAGATTATTTTTTACGTAATTTAAATTTAAATAACTGTGGTTCAAAGAAACTGTTTGTGAAATATCTTTTTATTATTGTTTATGACATTTTAAAATCTTCTGTCCAGGTCTGATCTCGGGTTGCTTCTATTTCTGTGGATTTCTGGTAGAGGTTTATTATATTTGATGCAAAGCCATCTGATGACTAAAGTATCATTTTAACCACACTCAGTAAGCCCGGGTCAGGATGGAGTGAGGGAGCCAGGCAGATCGGGTTGAAGCCGTGGAGGTGGAGTCACACTTCCTGCTGTCAGGAGAGGAGGTGGAGGAGGGCCACGTGGCGAGAGCTGGAAGGACAACATCCAGGTTTGAGAGCCTGAGGAGCAAAGTCCCCTGTGGCTTTGGTTCCCAGCTGTGAAACACGACTCCGACCTGTGAGGAGGATCGTCCTCCCGTGACGGCCGTGGTGCAGTGGGCTTTGTTACTTTGGCCTCGATCAGAGACATCCAGATCCTTCCTTCCTCTGATGCTCTGCCTGATCTTGGAGAATCTGGCTCGACTTATACATATTCTGACAGTGATCGCCCACTTTGCCATGCTGTAGCTTAGCATGTGAGCATCTCTCTGACCCCGGACGCGTGGATCATATAAGACTGTGTGTAATTCTTAACTGCGTGTATTTTGTGCAACACCAAGAAATAAGAAAAACGTCTACAGTGCGCACGTGACGCTGTGCTGAAGCTCGGCGCTCCAACAGCGACGCTTCAGAAAGAGCTCAGTGTTTGTAAATCTGCTGAGCTACACGTGTTTAAACGGGGTTTTAACAGGAAGCTGCGACGTTTGGTGCATAAGAACAAACCTTTATTTGTAAAGCACTTTAAAACAACCACAGCTGATGGAACGTGCTGTACATTGGAACTAAATAAAAAAAGTTACATACGATATAAATAAAAGCCAAATCATAAAAAGAATAAAATAATTAATAAAATAATTAATTTAATCAATTATTTTCGTAAATGCAACGATAGAAAAGGCCCCGCCCCCTCTGAGCTTCCTCCTGATCTTCCAGGAGCAGCTGGTCAGCTGACCTGAGAGGCCAGCAGGGTGTGTGAGGGTGAAGACGCTCAGAGAGGTGGGCGAGACTGAAGGCGTTTAAAAACAAACATGAGAATTTTAAAATGAGCTCTGAAGGACACAGGCGGCCGGTGAGGCCAGCACACGTGCTCAGCTGCAGGCGCGAGAGCAGCGACTGACTGACCCAAACACCGGGAGAGTTACAGTCGTCCACACGGGAAGAAATAAAAGCATGGATCGCTGTTTCCAAGTGCTGCCAAGAAAGAGAAGATTTCACTGCTGCCAGTCGCCTTACATTATAAAAACTGGACCACTGCTCTGATTTTAGTCCAATTTAAAACCAAAGTCAGTAACAAAGGTCTAAAATAATAAAATCTTCATTTAAATTTAAAACGTTGAAAGCGAAACGAGCTTTAATGTCAGAGAGAGGTTTTATGGAGACGCCATCCTTCTGCTCTTCTAAGGAGGAACCCAGAGGCCGTAAAACAGCAGTGGGCTGAAATCCCTGGACACAGATCCTAACGGCTCCTGTGTTCTCGGGGATCATGGAAGTAACACATAAACCCAACAGGACTGTACACAACACATGCAAGCAGCTTTTACATAAAAGACTAACACATTTTAGACACAGCTGTCCTGTGTCACAGCCAGGATCATTTTCAACACTTTGAACAATGAAGGAAGAGATTTCAGGATGACCGATGTCTTACAGCAGATATTTCACTGATTGATCAAAAGACTGAATCAGTTTCATCACGAGGAGAGAAACACATGAAATATAAAGAAGATAATCTTATTACATAACAAATAAATTGTGTTAAGAATCAAATTATGATACAAAAAAGACTAAATTAAGGTGCATAAAGAAAGTTTATGAGCATTGCTGGTCCATGAACGCGTGTTCAGCTTGTGACGACTCGTCTGCTGCTCTTCAGCTGTTTGTCAGCTTCAGTCTAAACGTTAGAAAAAACAATTTAACACAGTTAAATGTGTTTAATTGGCAGCCTGTTAACGTGGCACACGGACGGACTGAATGCACTTCATGACAGCCGTGTTGTGACCCTGCTGCTAGCATTAGCCGCTAACAGGTGGGATTTAAATCTGGTTCTTGTGAGTGTCGTAGAATAAAAGTGCTCGTTACTGTCTGAAAACAGAACTTTTTCAAATGTTTAATCATCATGTTTCTGGCCCAAACACCCAAACCAGCACTAGCAGACGTCAGCCTGTTTAAGGCTCTGATGTCTATTCTGTGTGACTTACAGCAGTTATGACAGGGTCTGATTTTCTCACCCAATAAAGGAATATTTCATATATCAGTCGACTCTTCATTCTATCAGACACAGTTATCACAGCTCCTACATTTGCTTTTTACACATGTATGTAAGCATTGAGCCAAATTTAGTAATGCCAACATATTAAATGAACAATATTTGTCTCTTATATATGATACATCTGTATACACACTGTCACAGATACTCGTCTTTGAGTGAAGATTTAAGGTGATAAGAAATCTAAATAAATACAACTTGAATCTTTACTGAAGCTCAGTGTTTGACACGAGTTCACTCACATGTATTTCACTCAAATGTGCTGTACCAGTGTACCTGCACATGTGATGTGACAATAAAAGTGATTTGATTTGCCTGCCCCCCTGGCAACACTTTGCTAGACCCGCCCCTGCACAGTTACCAGCTGTCAGCTGCTTAGAAAAGGATCCTGGTGTTATTAGTCTCTCAGAAACAGTTCATAACTTCAACTCATCCATGTCACCTAAAAGGTAAACCTGTTTCTCCATCACAGCTCTGATGGTTCAGTAAGGACATCTCCTGGTTTCATCTTCATGTTTCCCTCTCACCACATCTCCAAACCATCATGACCAGCAGCTTTACAGCTGTGGCTCCAGCAAACATCAGCTGATACTAGAAATTAATATTAAATAAATTCTAACAACAGCTGATCAA